ATTTCAATTCATTTCAAGTGAAAACAGAAAAACACTAACACTTACAAAGATAATGAAAGTTTCAGTATGAGGTTGTGAAGAATGTTGAATTTCATTGAAAGCACCAACCAATCTAAGTTAAACCACCATTAGAAGATCGTTTCTCCCTGGTGTAAGACTCATCATCAGATTACATATACAATACTGCACTCAACATTCAAATACAGGATCTTCAGTCTCGCAGGTAAACGCGTAACATCAAGACCTCTAAACCACTGTTGATAAAGTTCATAATGTAATCTCAAAACTATTGATTTCAACACTTTTATGCATTCAATATGTCACTTATCTTATTAATGGATATTTTGTTTTAGAAAACACATAACAGTTGAATCACAACTGAAATTCATGCAGTGTATGATAGATATCATTTTAATATGTAGCATATAAATTTGAACACTTGATTATATTAGATAATACGACATTTAGATTGTTGTCAACATAGATTAATAAAGAATAATTTTAAAATTTATTTATAAAGAATTATGGATAGCTAGATAGAAATTAATAAACGGAATACACCCATTATGACATTAAATAAGAAAGAAAGATTAGTTCAGCGAAGAGTTCTCTTTTCGGCGAATTCATTTTCAAAGCTGTACAATCGCAAATATATATACTTATTTTTACAGGGTGATAATAATACTGATAATAAACTTATGATATGTAAAAATAAGTATATATATTTGCGATTGTACAGCTTTGAAAATGAATTCGCCGAAAAGAGAACTCTTCGCTGAACTAATCTTTCTTTCTTAGATAGAAATTAAACAAATATGAAACGGATTGGTCATAAGTCTATTGATTTATAATTCTAGTGTTTCGAGTAGGTTTGTTTCGGATAACTATGAACATCAACTCTGAGATTCAGGTACATCCAGCTGACGAGTCTCAAATAGGACGAAACGCGCGTCCTGGATTCCACTGCTAGCCACTATCCATCATTGCTTACAAAAAGCTTGTGAATTAAGGCGATATCGAGGCATACACACAGTGTGCACATATGCCAATAATAGACTGATCATTTGCAGTCTTAAACCTCAATGGGAAGATACAAGCCAAACAATACCATATGAGTACATTGTTCCTTTGTAAATGTTAACAACAAAAAAAGAACAAGGAATTTACCGGACAAACACAATTCGAATACAAAATTAACTTTAGTTATCGAAATACAAGTCAATAACTAACTGTATTGTGTTTTATTTAATGGAAAACGTAAATGTAATTCATAGTATAAAAGTAATTAATATTATTTATCACTTTGTTTTATGTCATTCCATTTGAATCTACATTTCTCTTGTCCTTATTTATTTCATATCTTTTAAAAATGTATTTAAAAATAACTTTTCTAACTTAAAACTTCTTCTTCTTCTACATTTCTATTATCCATTATCTTCAATGAAGTTGATTGTAAAACAGTTAAAAGAAATCGATAAAGGGATTTGTATGCTTACAATTCTAATTGATGGTGGCCACTTATCAGCAAGTCTTATCTGTAATCTTGACGACAATTTGATTATCATTACACTTTACTTATTCATATACTTTAGTCAAGAGTATTGTGTAACTTTTGATAAGCTTTTTTTTTCTAATCTACTTTAAAGAGTGAGATACGTGTTTGTGTTGGTACATCATACTATCGTGTTATTACACTTCTTGGTATTATTATTAGCTGTATTATCAACATTACAGTTAACAGTTTCCTACTACAATTCATATTTAAATACGTTAATAATTACCATGAATATTGTAATAACAATCTTGAATTATACGAAGAAATAACCTACCTGTAAAACAATCTATCAGTTAAATCTACTGAGATAATCAACACGAATTGTACATTTTTAAAAGAATGTATACGTGTTACTCAGACAAAAACTGATGTATATGCACAAAAAACATATGGTAATGCATGAAGGGAATTGATAAACAACATATTAGTGAAAAACCACATCTTTACATACTAAACAAATCTTGTAAATTTACATTACTCAGTAGTCATACAGATAAACTTATGAAGTAAGTGACAACAAGTCACGTGACCCTATTAGTCATATTAGTATTTATTTAAAAAATAAAGAAGGGAGAACTGACGACAATTCTATGTGAGAAAATGAAATTAACATGGACTATACTTACTACACAAAACAAAAAATATATTTCATTAATGACTTCACGATACTCTTTTACCATAGTCTGTAAATACGTAATTTTTGAATGTACGAAATATGTTTTCTCAATAGAGAGCTTGTAGTGGCATTGGACAATAACCACACAATCCTCAAAGCTGAACACGAGACTACTCGGAAAATAGATATTCAATATTTCACTCGGAGAAATACCTAACGATGGAAAAGGCGGGAACAAGGAATTGAATTAATTGGAGTTGATCGGATGGCATGGCTCGGCCATGCAGGCGTGGTCCTTGTTGAATGTTATCTTATATCTCCCATTCAAATTAAATATATTATTCTTTCTCTAGCCTAGGCTTGTTCTACATCATGTATTGGTGATTGCTACGATACGATGAGTTGGTGTAGACGATGGTATGACTTCTACGTAATATCTTATAGATTAGGCAGTTATATCATGACAAGTCTACAATTTTATGATTAGATGTATTATTAGAGCAGTACTAATATCATAGTACACCATAATTCTACAAGCTAACTAGACACAAAATCTACGTATTTATACTTCTGATGATCTTTTTTTCTCATAAAGTAATATGAAATACGACTGATTATAAGGCTAAGTTATTTCACTTAGTACATCCCAAAAACGGTCGATGGAGTTTACTCAACATTCTGAAATCAACACACAATCTTTGACTAACATAATTTATATACTAGTCCAGTCAAAGGTGAAATAATTCGGTGTTAGCATATATGTAAATGATTCGGTTTTGAATTACACGTTTAGGTGATCGAACTAATTAATCACCTATAGTTCATGATTGGCAAACAGAACAAAATCTAAATAGAGTACTAATCTCAATCAATGAAATATTTAGTAAATCTATAATATAGTGGTCAAATTTTTATTAACAATGCTATTGGATCATAATTTCATAAACTGTAAGCTTTCTGAAGTCTCACGCATTTAAAATATCTGTTTTTATGACAATTACATATATACATCATTGTGAAATTCAGATATGTTTAAACTGTCATTAATTAATCTGAAGAAATAAGAAATAATTAACTTCACTGGTTGAAATCATGAATGAATTGAAGCTAGACCACCATGGAAAACCTGGAAGCACTGGACGGCCGTTCCGTCCTAGTATGGGACTCCTCAGCAGCGCGCATTCACGACCTCGCCCCCCAAGATATTCGAACCCAGGACCTACTGGTTTCGCGCGCGAGCACTTAACCACTGGACCACTGATCCGGCATCCAACGGTGTTAATGTCTAACTTCAAACAATCCAAGAAGTTGCGCTACCCTACACCATTGTCTTCAGTGAGTTGATATCTCACAACCGACTTGGTTGAACTCCATAGGTAACGGCTTCTCACTAGAACTCCAGGAGTATCTATTGAAGTCAGTCACTAGTGAACAGATGATTATTATCAGAAGGGGTCCCATACTAGGACAAAACGGCCGTCCAGTGCTTCCAGGTTTTCCATGGTGGTCTAGCTCGAATTCACTCATGATTTCAACCAGTGAAATCTCTAAAAATCTCCACAAAACCCCTTCTGAAAATAATTATTACATGAGTTAAATTCATGCACCGAAGAAACTGAACTATCAGTAAATAAAAACAAGCTTTTTAGAATGTTACAGAAAGAATTCAATGTTATTAATAAACATACAGAAAATGATGACTAGTTTTGTAATTCAATTGATGGATATTAATGTAACAGGGATGTAATAAAATAATGACTATTATTATTTATGATATTTGATGAAGTTCACAGTAAGAATATGAAATGATATATTCCATAAGAATAACAATATAATTCATTATGTGAATTAGTATTATGATGTTAGTTAGTTACAACAGAAAAGTGTTTAGTTTTCTGATTTATTTAACATAACATTTTTTGTTCTTGAAATCATGTACCGACTTAAGTTAGAGAATTAGTGAAAAAATTGAAGTACTGAACAGTTGTTTCAATTCCTATTATAGGAATCCATAAGTAATCGAACTCAAAACATTTGGTTTTGAACTCGAACGCTTAACCTCTTGAGTGCTGAGCCAGAATCAAATCGTGTACATTTCTTATTTCAACGGATTCTCAATATTTTGAAATTACTTTCCATTGTTTGAGGTAAGTACTTTCCTCATACCCAACATACTGAACTTCACACGATAAGATCCTATTGTTCTACTTCCAAATGAATGGCTTATGTTTCTCGCCGTGATAGAAAATCATATACATGTTTAATGTATTACAGGCATAATAAAGAAATGTTATTCTTTAAATATACATCGACGAAGATATGTCATAAGTATTTTCAGTAGTCTGATTGTTTCGTAGATCTTGTACAAGATGATATTTCGTCTCTATTATGCATATAAGAAGGTCAAAGAACACATTACGTCGGGAAATAGAAGCAGGTATGAAAAGGATGAATAACAACTAGAAAGAGCTGGAAAGGATTGCCCAAGACAAGGTTAGATGGAGAGTGCTGGTGGAAGGCCTATGCTTCTTCACGAGGAGTAATATGCGTAAGCAATGCATATAAGATTGATTAAAGGATGCTGTATTGTAATGAAATGATTCATAGTTTAAGTGAACTGACAGATAACAAAATTTACATTGATTAATAGTTATTTTTGTCTTTGCATAAAATAATCTTTCATTGTTGTTATACTTTTCAAGTGTTATGAAACCGAGAAAAATAGTCTTTTTTTAAAAAAAAAAGAAAACTTTTCTAGTAATGAGATTGTTATAGTGTTATAGTTAATCCCAATAGTAGTAGTAGTTAGCTCAAGTTTGTTGCACTTACAGCAGCAAATTTGGTAAAATCAAATAATTGAGATAATTTTTGTTTTCCAAAAACCATGTTGATTGGAATATTTCAATCGTTTATTTTATATAGTTATGTATCTATATATGTCCAATTGGAAATATTATGTGTACTACACTGGAAAACTGTAAAATAAACACATGTAATGTTCGCACTAAAGAAAAGCTGATAGAATATGAGTAATAATAATATTGGTAAGTTATTTATGTGATTTGCAAGAAGAATAAAATCAAATTATCAATAGTCTTGTATGATAGTCTTTAGCTAGATTGAAAGCTCATTTAATGGACAAACGATTTATATTGTTAAAGGCTACTAGGTGCTTTTTTTATTCACTTAAGTATCCAGATACAAACATTCAAAAATTGACGATCAAATGAATTAAGCTTATCACAAAACAAACACATGCTAACTCTTTTGAATAGAAAGTGTGAAGAGGCCAATTCAAACTTTTGTATCATCTATTTTTCAACTTATTATATTACAATGAACTATTACGTATTGGATTTATTTGAACTGAATATTTATGCAGACAAACTGCATTAAAAGTTATTACTATGCCAAATACCAGAAAACCCTAATGAAAACAATACACTTATTTGTAAATTTTTCTCTTGATATATCCTTCGTAAGAATCCAAGACAAATATATCGGGGTTTATGCATCATCAATATATTTGATGGTTGACCAAAAAATAGGCGTAACAATTGAACTGGTCGAAAACTTCCATAATTGTAGATTGGCGACGAAGTGATAATTGAGTCAGTCAGTCAGTAGCATCGCAGAACTTCTTACGTACGTACATCAGTTCGAGTTGCCATACCAAATTAGCACAGAGATGCAGTTGTCGATTCAAATCCCGTAGTGGTAGAGGTAGTAAAAGTATAAGCAGTAATCGGGTGATAATTGAAATGATCTATGAAAGATATTTCCAAATCATTACAATTTGAATACATACTAAGTTGTTCTAGTGTTAATACAATCAGTGTTAACAATTTATTATTGTAACAAAATTTATGGTACTGAATAAAACTATCATTGCTAATGTTACGACTACTGTTAACACTACAGTTTATCAATCATGAATACTTGAATCCTACAATTTACGTTTAATATGAATGTCATTTTAATGAAAATTTATACGTATAACTATTCATTACAATTGTCAATCGGTTAATTCAAACGATATTTACTGATTTTCATCAGCTAATCGAACGAGATTAAAATTAAAACTGTCAAATACACTGATATTTATTGTAAACAAAATTTCCTTTAAAATAAAGACTACAGAAATAATAGAAAGCAGTCCACTTCAAAAAATCAGATGGTATATCTTCTGAATTTCCTGATGTGCATCAGTTACTTCATACATACATACATACATACATACATACATACATATATACATACATACATACATACATACATACATACATACATACGCCAAGATTATAAATTATGGACGAGCCAATCAGGAGCGAAATTCAGTACCTGATGCTCACGTACGATCGGTTTACAGCGGATTTTAGAGAAGACGTGATAATTGAGCGGATGCAACAAATGTAATTATTGAGAAGTCCCTTTATTTGCGACCATGTTAATCAAATTACTGCTGTATCTCATAGGTCCTTAGAATTTACGACAAGTCATCCCAAAAGGGACATGAACCATGTAAAAGAAGTGTATCATCCACTTTAATTCTTTGGTTTCGTATAATATAATTTTACTCCATACTGTTTTCTGATTGGCTAATATCTCTCAGGGTCACTTAAGATTCGTTCAAAGGTCGTCGATTAACTATAGTCTCACCAGAAACCCCAGTTGTTAATTATAGACATTCTGGTCAATGAAGAATTGATTGTTTTCAGGGATCCCCAAAACCTGATCACCTGACATCGCAGTCAAGGAATGTTCCTATCGCAATTAATTTCTTTTGGTACAAAAGTGCTGAATAAGGATGAAAAAACTCCAAACCGTTCAGTAACTCAATAATTTAACCAAAAACTATTAGGACAGGATAACGAAGAAATTTGTATTTACTAATTTGATTTAAATCTGTGTATTTATTCAATAAACATTGAAATGTACAAATAGAAAAATAATTGTAGTATCATATCAGGCAAACTTGTCGCTAAGCATTCAGATATGTATTGAACATTGAATATTATGAAAATGAAGCTCATTCAATTCCATACATAATTAAATTCTAGTATTAGCAATTTTATGTGAGAAAATGAAATTCTAATAATCAAATTTCTTTAAATATAAACATAATTACATCTATAATTGATTTGTCCACTGCTCTAATTTCCTCTTCAGTTGGAATCTGGTTTGTTTTCTCTCACAGTAAGTTGTTGCTCATGTTGTCTGATCAACAGATGATGAGTATCTTGAGCAGACAATTGTCTATAAATACTTGTACCATTTTGATAACTCTTGTGATAGTTCTCGAAGTTCCAGTTCTATACAGTAGAACTATCTTGACGTTCGTATTAAAGATTCTCACTTTGATGTTGACTGACAGTTGTTTTGAGTTTCATATATTCCTCAATTATAGGAATGCTGTCCCTGCTTCACCAATCCTCACCTTCACGTCTGTATCAGATTATCCTTGTTCATCGATGATGATAACCAGGTACGTGGAAGATTCTACCTCTTCCCGAGTTTCTCTATCAATTGTGATTGGGTTGGCGGTTTCCGAGTTGTATTTGAGGATCTTGGTTTTCCTTTTGTGTATGTTTAGACCTACTGATGCAAAGGATGCCACTAACTTGACTTTCTTCACTTACATTTGATGATGTGTTTAAGATAGAAGAGTCAAATTATCTGTGAAATTCAAATCATCTAACTGAATCCAAGCTGTCCATTGTATTCCATGCTCTCCCTCGGAGGTGGAGGTCTCCATAATCGGTTTGACCACTAGAAGAAAGAGGAAAGCGGAGGGTAGACAGTCTTGTCTGACTTCGGTCCTCATCTGGAATACGTCCGTCAGCTGTCCTCCATTCACGACTTTGCACTGCAGTCCGTCGTATGAATTCCGGATGGTGTTGACGATCTTCTCAGGTAAACCATAGTGTCGAAGAAATTTACATAAGGTCTTCCTGTCCACACTGTCAAACGCCTCCTCATATTCAATGAACTTGATGTATAGTGACGAGTTCTACTCAACTGATTGTCCAGCGATCATCGGTAGTGTCGCGATTTGGTCTGAGCACGACTGATCCTTACGGAATCCATATTGTTGATCTTGAAGTTGGACATCTACTGAATTCTTCATCTGGTTCAGCAACACTCTGTTTGAAATTTTACCTGGTACCGATAGTAGTGTGATGCCTTTGTTTAATAATGACCATTTTTTTAAAAGGTTTGGTGAAGATTGATGTAATTTGTACGCTGCATTCGTTACAGATTGCTCCCAGTTAAGTAATCATTAGAAATTTGGGAGCACTAAACAGACGTTTCATTCTGAAAAGGGACTGTTCAGCAGTGTACTGGCACTAGCCCATTAGGGATCGGACCCAGGATCTTCAGACTAGAGGCGAAGCCTTAACCACTGGGTCACTGTCTAGTAATGGCACAACCCCATTTTTAATCAATTTCTGATTCGCTTAGGGAATTATTTCTTGTCATTAGGGACAACTGTTTTACTTCAGATACATATGAACTCCACTAATCAAAACGTATTATATCTCGAAGTCAAAAGTGAGCCGACTATTACATTTCAGATAAAGAGCTTTTATGAAAATTAGTTCAGTCATATGTTGTATTATTCACAGATTAAAACAATAATAAAGTGTTTAGTGAAGTCTAAACATCTAGGAAGTAGATAGGACATACAGTACACAAACCATCAAACTATATCACGAGGCCAGCGCTTACTTAAAATCCTGAAGGGAACCAGAAAAGATGAAGACTAAAGAACACAATGAGTCGGGAATCGGAAGCGAACATGAAAAAGATGTACAGCAACTGGGAATAACTAGAAGAAATTGCCGAGGATATAGTTCTACGGAGAAACATGGTAGGTGTCCTATTCTCTATTACGAGGAGTAACAAGCGTAAGTAAGTAATTAAGTATTTATTCATTGTTCATAATTACTCATAGAATTGGTTGTACAGAGTGATAAAAAGTGTTTGTGGAGAAAAGAGATCTCTTTGCTGAGTTTCATGATTGTAATTAATTTTTAATAGAAAATTAACTAAAACATAAGTGTTATCTAGTACTCGTCTAGTTTAATTAATGATAACAGATATGGGAAACTGGTTTAGTAAGCAATTTTTTGGTGAAATTTTTATTCAACTACAGTTTCTATGTGGTCACATAACACATACTGAATAATCAGTATTTATAAAAAAAAACAAAAAATTATTTCCACTCAAGATAAATGTATCTACAGTTAAATGCAGTGAATTTTCACATTTAACTTATCATATAACATTCAGACTGGCTAAAGTGATTCATAATATTTTCAGCAAATATGGCGACTTTTTTGTTCATTTAGTACGTGGGTACTGTAAATCAAATGCATATTTCACTAAATATTTCATTGAGAGAATTTGGATTTATATACAGCTATTTGGTATAAACACATTAGTATAGTGCGATCCAACATATAACAGAATAAACACAAATGTAGTGCAAGTTTGGGCGTAAAGTGATATCTCTACTGATAATTACACTTTTTAGAGGCAACGCTTACCCATTAAATGGACGAGAAAATGACTTAAAGTACTAGACACAAAAATGTTTCAACATTGAAAACGTTATGAAAAACCTTATCTGTTAGACATATTATGAATGTAGAATGCAAATTGAAGGTTTAGAATTTACTGTATCATTTTTATTTTACCTTGTTCTACTCTGATATTAGATAGAGTGAATTAAAAATTCTGAAATTACAATTTGGAGGAAAAGAATTTAAGAATTGATTTCCAAATAACACTGAACAGCTAACCCATTCTAGTTCGGTTTTTATACAGAATCCTTTAATGTTCAAAGTATACTATGTATAGTGGGTAGAACAATGTTCATAACA